GGGGGGGGTACCATTTGCTCATTTAATGTGAAGGGGAGCCCGTTGTGAAAACTGATAAACCGATCCAAGCTGTACGCCATCCAGAAGGTCCGGCGCTGTTCCTCCAGCCCGATCCAATCTACCAACACCGCCTCCTGCTCGCGCGCCATCGTCACCGGACTGTTCGGATCGTCCAGCTCGTACAGCCGCATCCCCAGCACCAGCCGACAGCACCGTCCCGTGCTCATCCACGCCTGCAGCGCGGACACCTGCATGTACTCGTAGATACAGACCAGGATCCACGCCTGCGCCTGCTCGATGCTCGGCGCCTCCGTTTTCAGCCCTTGTAGGTCCATGGCATCCAGCATGCGTCGCGTCTCCGTATAGAGCCGGTCGCGGAGGGACTGGAACTGCGCCGACAGACTGGCAGCCACCGTCCACATCGCATACTGGAGGCAGGTCTGGGCCTCGGTCTTCTTGGGCTGCTTGGCCCACACGTGGTACCGCCAGCGCTGCAGGATGGGGGCGAACGGGTGCACCCGGTCGAAGTAGAGTTGGTCCCTGCATCATTAGTCGAGGATCTGAGGGGATCAGGGGGAGCGCAGATGGGGGACGTACAGATCGGCTCGCATCAGATCGGAGACCAGACCGGGGGGCCGGCTGGGGGAACCGGGGGAGCGTGGGGATTTGGAGCTGCGCTGGTCATCGGAGGCGGCGTCGGGCATCACCGGCAGCGGGTCGGGTAGCGGCGGCAGATCGCGGAGGGGATCCTCTTCACTGTCACAGTCCAAGACCGACCCGTCGAACAGACTGGCCATCTGATGGTTGATTTCGGGGTGTTGGTCGGCTAGGCATCGTTCCAGAGCAGCTGACAGGTGGTTAGTTAGCTGCATTCCTGCCTTGAGGGAATCAGCACGTACCAATTCGCGTCCGGAGCGTGCGTAATTGTCCCTTGCGGGGCCCTCGAGGCAGTCGGGTGGTGTTGATTTTGCACTCGATGCCCGTCTCGAAACAGACCTGACACTGCGGGCGACGTCGGTCACAGCGCACCTTCCGACGTCGGCATTCCTCGCAGGCAGATCCCGGTCGCTGACGGGAAATCGTGGGGGTAGAAACCATCGTGGCGATGGAGGAAGCCAGAGGGAGACAGGCACAGACAGACAACAGCGGGAGAGAGATGGGGATGGACGAGGTAGACACGAGTGGCCGGTGTCCTTATAGCCGGGGGAGCAGCTTATGTGATGGAGCCAGCCGACACCGTGGTGATAAGATCCAAAGAATGGGATCGACCCGCGATAGCGTGTTCAAGAGGGGAGTGCAGGAGGCAATGGACCGGTGGAGAGACGCTCGAGCAATGAACATCCGGCGTGGCTTACGTTGCTTTTTTGTCTATTAAGCTCATCGGCACGGTCAGAGGCCCGCCCGTGGGTATGAGTGGGTTCGGTGGATGATCTGCTGTGTGAACCGTGTGATACTGAGGGCAAACCTGCAGGGAGCAGGGCCTCAGCCTTCATCATGGCCCTCCGTTCCCATCCGGCCGGGTTCCTACCGGCCAGATGGTCACTGCAGGGTGACAGGATGCTGCCATGGTCCCGGGCCGGTTGGATTCAAGGCAGAGGCCAATTCTTCACGACCCAAAGGGGGAAAGAATCATCCCCCCAGATGTCTCGATCTCAGGAGCCACCGACATCATAATGTCGCAGAGGGCACCTCCGTCCAGCGATGTTCCCCCAGTGAGGCTTCTGGATAGCCCGTCAGCCAGCCACCCGGACGCGACGATGGGTCCAGCATGGCACTACACGATGCGACTACTGCAGAGGACAGTCCAGGGCCTGGCCCACCGGGTTGCGCAGAGGCCAGCAGCAGTCCCGCAGAAGCAAGCATATATGGGCAGAACAGGCAGGTTACAGGTTGCAGGTTGCAGGTGCCGCCGCAGCTGGAGGGCGAAATTGTTGGAAACCTGGCGGTGGCAGATGTCAGACGGGCGCCTGGCACCTGCAGTGGGTGCCGCAGCTGTGAGGGACGGTCCAACCTGAGGGGATTACAGTGCGACGGCGGAAAATAAGGGTTTGCTACGTGTGATGGTGGAGCCCTCAGGGGGGAGGAAGAGGGGAGGAAGAGGGGAGGCTAGTCGTCTAGTGGCAGGATCCGCATTGATAGTTGGGCCAGTCGGTCGGGTGGTCGATCATCATTGGCGTGGATGCAGCGATGGGCGAGGGGATCGAGATCTGAGCTGATGAGTCGGCTGGCAGTAGTTTCATCCTCCTGGTTGGATACGAAGGGTGGAGTTCCAGTGGGTCCTCGGAAATAGTCGCCTGGACGGGGGGCTCGTCAATAATCCTGTTCAATATACCTATCTAGAAGGGAAGTGGGAATTAGAAGTGGGAATTCGATCGATCAGCGGCGGATCCGCCCAGCTGAGGATCAACCTTCAAGCAGCCACTATTGATGCTTGCTTTTTTTCCCCTTTCGGGAGGGCCGACGCTGGCGCCAAAATTGTCAATGATCGAAGGATCGAGTTTCTGCACCGGAAATTGCTGCTGGTGCTGGTGCTGCTGGTGCTGCTGGTTGACTCGCCCTACAGTGGATTGCCATCTGGCCCGCTGGTAGTACCACTCCGTGGTGACCCTTCTGTCTGGCCGGGCCATTTATCCCTCAGCGATATACCTCAGCGATATATAAGCGCAGCCGTGATGAGAATCCACCACTAACTACTAGATAGTATGATCCCGACAAGCCTCTCGGCAATTCCCAATGGCCCACACTCAAGACCTTCTGGGCCAACTGCCTATCCTCCAATCCTATACCCACCTGCTCCTGTGCTTCCCGCTGCCTACCCCCTCCACCATCCTGTCCACCCTGGAAGATGCCATCCAGCAACTCTTCACCCTCATCCCCATCCTGGCGGGCCAAGTCATCAACGAGGACGTCTCGGCCACCTCGTCCGGCACCTTCACGGTCCTGCCCATGTCCCCTCGCCCATCCCCCATCATCCGCATAGTTGACCACACCTCCAACCCCAGCGTCCCCAGCTACAGCAGCCTCCGCCAGGCGCACTTCCCGTCCCACATGCTCCCCGGGGCCCTCTTTTCGCCTCCCCGCCCGGCCTTCCCCATTCCCTACCCGGAAGACACCGACCCCATCCCCGTCCTCGACCTCCAAGCCAATCTCCTGCACGGCGGCTTACTCCTCACCCTTGCGGCCCAGCACAACATCATCGATGCCAGCGGCATCTTCCAGGTGGCCTCGCTCCTGGCCCGTCTCACCCGCGGGGAATCCATTCCCACGGCCGAGATCCACGAGGCCAACCGGGACCGGCGCAACCTGATCAGCCTGTACGCGGACCACGAACCCCTCTGCGACGACTACACCAACTATAAGCCCCCCACCATCCCCCGCGCGCCCCCCAATCTGACCGCCCTCTTCCCCACCTTTCAATGGGCCAATTTCCATTTCCCCCAACGCAGCGTGCAAGCCATCTATACCCTCGCCGCGCAATCTCCTTCCGACTCTCACCACGGGGAGACAGTAAACATCACGCCCAACGACGCCCTCACAGCCTTCATCTGGCAACGCCTCACCCATGTCCGTCTCCAACACTCCTCCATCCCCCCCATCCCCACCACCACCATCGCAATAGCTCCACCCCCCATCTCCAAACTCACCCGCGCCCTCGACCTCCGACGCACCCTCCACCTCACCCCCGCCTACCTAGGCCACACTATCCGCACCGCCACCCTCCGTCTCCCCATGACGGATATCGCCACCCTGCCCCTCTCCGGCCTCGCGGATCGCCTCCGCTCTCAAGTCCTGGCGCTCCGCACCCCAGACGCCGTCCGCGACTATGCCACCTTTCTCTCCCGGGAACCCGATAAGCGAAAGATCGCTTACGCGGGGGGCGAGTTCAACCCGCGGACGGACTTTAGTTGTTCGAGTGTGGCGCATGTGGATCTGGCTCGGCTCGGACTGGGGATGGGGATGGGGGGGAAGAAAAAGGGGGAGGTCGTGGCGCGGTGTGAGGGGGTAAGGCGGCCCGAGGCGGGGGTGTTACCGGGGGGGTGTTATTTGGCGGCGGCGGGGCGGTGGTATGGGAATGGTACTGGGGCGGATGGGGAGGAGGAAGAAGAAAGAGGAGTCGAGGCGTTGATCTGTCTGGATGGGTGGGAGATGGAGGGGTTGAAGGCGGAGGAGGAGTGGAAGAAGTGGGTGGAGTTTGTGGGTTAACCCTCTCTCTCTCTCTCTCTCTCTCTCTCTCTCTCTCTCTCTCTCTCTCTGCGTGTGTGTGTGCGTGTGGTATTTCTGATGACATGAACGATAACGATCCCTAACTCATGACTTACGAAGATTATGATCATGATTATGATACGTGACGACGACAAAAACAGTATCAGCAACAGCAACAATAACAATACCATTTGAATGACCTAGCTGGTAGCATAATGAGTAGAATAGAGTAAAGTAAAGTAAAGCAGACTCACAAGCATCCATAGCCGATAATGCTCCCCCCCACCAAAACCACAAACCACAAACACAAACCACAAACACAAACTAAATCGTAAATCCACCATGCCACCTACCTTCTAACCCCTACGCCCTTGGTAGTTGGTAGTTGGCACCACGATACACTACACACTATAGAATCTATCTATCCTCACAATATACTACGATGCATGTCCCCTTGCGCTCTCCAGAGCCAAACTGGATCTTATCTAGTAGTATCAATCATCCCGCAATCCAACATCAACCTCATAGTGAAACAATATATAGTGTAGATTGAGAGTGCTCGATGAAGGGTGCTATATAGGACCCCACTTGATTTGATTGCGTGTGGCATTTTAAATTCTATTGGCTTTTTGTATGGCATTGTTGATAGTATATACTTTTTACTAAGCAGTATCTGTTTGGTGACTCGGTGTTGGGGGGATAATCTTGGACGGGTGATGGATATATGGATCATGAGGGATTCTCCGATATGGTTAAGGAATAGATGGCTTTCCTCAAGGAAATCAGTTTGCGGAATAAGGGTTGGAAAGGCGAGTGCCTCGTCGTCAAGACCCTAAACGCATCGCCCTACGAATCCCCTAACGAATACCCTTCCACCCACCCACTCAACCCCAACCCCACCCCCGCCACCCCACACATCACCCCCCAGAGCACCCGTAGACTCGCCGTATAACACTCCCGAAGGACCCGCGCCTCTTTCTCGCCCATCCCTTCCAAGAGTGTGACCAACGCCGCCGCATTGCGACTCACCTCTTCTGCTCTCTGTCCGCCCCACCCCTCATACTGATTCAACTCCCGGCGCATCCGATTCTGGAAGATCACACCCCCCACGGCAATCCCTACCGCTTGGCCAAAGGCTCGGAAGAAAATTACCATCGCCACGGATAGGGTCAGGTTCTCGGGAGTCGCGGACGCCTGCACCGCGCAGACGATCGCCGCGGTCAAGATCCCGAGGCCTAAGCCCGCGGGGATGTTGAGGAAGATCCATTTCACGGTGGGAGTGTCGACCTGAAGAAGACACAGGAGGCCGAGGCCCAGGGTGGAGAGTGTCCAGCCCAGGTACAAACCCCAGCGGTACCGGCCGGTGCGGGTGATGATCACGCCGCAGAGGATGGCGGACGGGGCGACCGTGAAGGTGTCGGGGAAGAGGGCCACGCCGGCCATGATCGGGGAGAAGGATTTCACGGCCTCGTAGTATAATGGCATGTAGTAGAGGGCGCACCAGAGGATCAGGCCTTGGAGGAAGCTGGCGGTGAGGGCGATCACGGCGCTGCGGTTTTGGAAGATGGAGCGCGGGATCATCGGGGAGGAGGGGATCAGGGCTTCGTAGATGCAGAAGGTGAGGAGTCCGGTGGCACCGAGGGTGAGAGGGACGAGGGTTCGCCATGAAGTCCAGCTGTACATGATTCCGCCCCAAGAGAGGGGGATCAGGAAGGACGAGAGGCTGCTCACGAAGAGAAAAGTGCCCGCGTAATCGATTTGAAGAACTTTCTGTCGGAGGGAGCCAGGGGGTGTGGGGAGGCGGAAGAAGAAGAGGACGCTGATGGTGGCGACGGCGATGAAGGGAAAGTTGATGTAAAAGATCCATCTCTGAGAGAAGCCTTTGTTAGTGGCTTCTAGCTGTGTTCATGAGGGACACTCACCCAGGTCACCTTCTCGGAGAACCCACCCCCCAATATAGGCCCCAACACGCTCCCTAGGCTATACATCGCACTGAGCACCCCGTAGTAGTTGCCGCGTAGACGCAGCGGCACCAGGTCCGTAATCAGTACTTCAGACAACACTGCGATTCCCCCACCACCCACCCCTTGGACGCAGCGTCCCATGAGGATGGTGGTGAAGGAGTGGGCCAGTCCAGCAGTGAGTGACCCGGAGAAGAAGAACCCGATTGAGAGCAGGATGACCGGACGACGGCCGAAGATATCGCTCAGGGCGGCCGTGAAGGGTTGAAAGACGGTCGAGCAGAGCAGAAAGGACGTTCCGCTCCAGAAGGCCTCCATCGCAGAGCCATGGAGCTCGCGTGCCATTTTCTTGCCCAGTTAGCGGGCGTCTCCAACTCGGTCAGCAACATACCGGCAACGCAACCGAGATAGAAGTGCCATCCAACGACACCATCAACGTCAACACCGCTAGCGTGAAGAAAATCACCCGGCCCAGCACCGGCAGCTTGAAATCTTCAAGCTGAGGGGCTGCACCTTCGGGATCCTTGTTCTTCTCGTCTTGGCCTTGATGCTCCACATGCTTCGACTCTGGCTGCTGATCCTGCCCATCCCTCACCCTGCCGACCTCGTCCTGTCCCGGGTTTCCCCCAATAATGCTGTCCCGAGTAACGTCCTGCATTTCTCTTTTGGTAATGCAACGCTCAGCGAGGCAGCAGCAGACTCAATGTCCGCACGCGATGGTAGCAGTAACCTTCGCCAGAAAGCCGTCTGACCGCCTGACCGTCTCCAAACAGAAAGACCAAATCGCAGCCCAACCGTACTACCCCCTGTTATACAAGCCCCTCGCTCAATATGCCGGAAGATTAACCCGTCCGTCTCGGAGCGGACCGGACAGCCGCATCGCAGGAACGGTGTAGCCTGACGAATACGTAGGACGACCGTAGACACTTGAGACCAAAGAGAATGAAACCCCATCGTTAGTCGGAGAATCTTTCACGCCTGTGAGCACTCTGTTGGGGGAGAAAGGGTCACGGCAGCTGCTGTTCAATCCCCTATTGCAATCCCGACGGAGGAACATAGCTTCGTTCGCCTAAGCAGATAGTCCTTCGCCGGGATAAGTTTCCGACAGGGTCAGTGCGACGGTGTGCAACGTTCTATTCCTTCAAGTGAGTCAAACAGAAGCGAAACACCCAAGGCTGCCACTCGCTGTTGCCTAACCCCTTGGTTGGTGACCGTGCTGGCCTGACGCCAGCTGCACAACAGTCAGTAATCAGGAAACAATAGCCCTTTTTGGCACTCTTTGATCAAGAGGTGCGAGAGGCCTCGGAAAAGTCGGTGGAATAGGCACCGCGTCAGACTATCCCCAGATGTAGATAGAAAATCAGAGGAGCACAATACAGAGCAATCGTAATAGCACACAACCATCAACATGTCTCAATCTGAAATCGACATTGCCATTATCGGCTGCGGCATCATCGGGGCTATCCTCGCCCTGGGCCTCATCAAGTCCAACGAGGCTCAGCCAAGAGCCAAGCTCAACATCAAAGTGTACGAGCAAGCCGCTTCCCCTCGCGAATACGGCGCCGGGATTGGCTTCACCGCTACGGCACGAAAATGCATGACCCTGATGGACGAGCGCATCGCCGACTGTGTAGGGGTGGTGGCAACGCTGAATGGCGAGCCCGAAAATCCCGACTACAGTATGCGCTTCGTGGATGGCTTCCGCACCTTCCCAACTCCCCAGCATGAGGGATATGGAGGACATTCCCAGACGGCCGAAGATATAGAAGAGGACGTATCCATCCACGGAAAAGTGTATAAGCTGTATGTCGGACCACGCGGGTTCGAAGGGTGCCATCGGGCGCAGTTCCTGGCGGAGGTCATGAAGCTCATGCCGGAAGGGATCGCGCAGTTTAAGAAACGGGTAGAGGGATTCGAGTATCTAGAGACTGGCAGGGTCAGACTGGACTTTGCAGATGGGGAGCAGAAGGAGTGTGACATTGGTATGTCTTACCTTCCTTGTATCCTACGCAATGATGTTTATGTGTAGTCATCGCTTGCGATGGCATTAGATCCCGAATGCGCGAGCTGCTCTTCACGCCGGCCTACAATGCACAGTACACCCACCAGCTGGCTTTCCGCGGGCTGGTGCCCATGGACGCGGCAATCCAGAGACTCAGTCGGTACCGCGCGCTGAGGCAGCACATGCAGTGTGGTCCGAATGCACATATCATGCACTTCCCGGTCGCAGGGCAGAAGCTCATGAATGTGGTCGCATTTGTCCAGGATCCGAATGAATGGTCTAGCACGGGTATGACTACCCCAGCCCAGAAGAGTGAGGTTGTGGAGGCGTTCCGGGAATGGGGTCCGTTTGTGCGCGCCCTGATCGATCTGCTCCCCGAGAACTTGGACAAATGGGCCGTCTTCGATACGTACGATTGTCCTATACCAAGGTATGTAGAGCATCGGGTCGCTCTGGCTGGCGATGCAGCCCATGCTTCATCACCGCATCACGGGGCTGGCGCAGGCATGGGGGTCGAGGACGCGTTGGCATTGGTGGCTGCCTTGACGAGAGCACGAGTGGATGTCGATCGGGGCGTGGCAGTGGGGAGGACGCTGGAAGCGGCATTGAAGGCATATTCTAAGGTGCGATATGGACGGTCGCAGTGGCTGGTGAGGAGCAGTCGCCAGCTGGGCTGGACATTTGAGTGGATGAACCCTGACACCGGGGCGGAGATGGATCGTGCGTTTGTTGACATCCGAGACAGGAGTCATCAGGTGTGGCATTTCGACGTTGAGGGCATGGTGGCTGAGGTGGAGCGAGAATATCGCCAAATGCTGTAGTATTTAAGTTATGATTGTTGTGGATTGAGGTGATGAGGAAAGAGGAATGGGAGACAACTGAAACAAACCAGGGTCAGGTGATCCGCCAATCAGCCAGTTATGATTTATCTCTAGTTTATATGCCGATATTTACACCTCATGCCCTCGCAGCATCTTCCCCAGTATTGGACTCTGTGTCCGCTCGTATGCCTCCCGGATATACGCCTCATCCACCGAGAAGGGCCTTGCCATTACATTCGGAATGTACCGCCCTAGTGTCTCCATGTCCACATTTCCCTCCAGAAACCCTGGCTTCAACAGGCACTGGCGGAACCGATCCACGGTCGACCGCAGATGGCTCGAGTGGAAAGGCACATCGATGCCTTCGAGTGGAATGGTGGCCTGACCTCGCTGGAGCTGGATCGGATGGGGGAGATCCTGTGCCTCGGAAAGCAGCTGGAGGATGAGACCATCCTCTGCCGTTCCCTTCGACCCCAACTCTTGTCCATTCGACTGCGCGAGGTAGTCCATCAGTCGCCCAAGCACCCAAAGATTCGTCACCTACAGACATCATTAGTATATAAGAAGGTGAAGAATCATGAAAACATACCGTGCCTGAACACACGTATTGCTCCCCCTCCACGTTGTAGTTGACAACCTCCAGCAGCTCCTGGCTGGCGAGGGCAATCGCTCGAACCAAGTTACCCAACCCCGTTTCGTCAAGGACTGAACGGTTAGCTTTCAATCTACCCAGCCACGGCGTCACTTACATCGGCCAACACGCTTGGGATTCACCGCCACCATCCCATAAGCGGCACCCTGATCGCCTCGCGACACCGAAGCCTGCATCATGAGACCCCGGTAAAATGCCAACTCCGCCAATGCCCCCATGGGTATCGAACTGGACAACGCCGACAGAGCCCCAAACTCTCCGAGAGAATGACCGGCATACATCGCGTTCGGTGATACATATCCCTTGGTACGCAGATCGGCTACTGCCGCCGCCTCGAACAGCAAAATGGCGGGCTGAGCGAATTGGGTGGAGTATAGCAGTCCCCTTGGATCGGTAAAGGTGTACGACGTCGAAGACGGAGTGAGCCCCGGGAGAACAGGTGTCTGCACGCGTGCCCCATCAGCCAACACCGTCTCCGTCGTAATAGCGAGATAGTTCTCTCTGATCTGGCGGCCTCGCTTGCCCCCAAAGTGCACTGTAACGGACTTGGGGTTATTCTTGACAATGTCCAGGACGGACCAGCCTATGTTTGTGAGCCATTGCCACTCTTCAGACACATAGTACGTACCATACGATGCATATAGCTGCCCGTCGATCCCATCCCACATAGCTTTAGCGACCGTGCTTGACTTGTACAGGTCCATCCCCATTCCCTTGCTTTGGCTGCCTTGGCCCGTAAAAAGATAGGCGGTTGCAGGCTGGTCTATAATGGCTTCTGCTTCCAGTACCCGTTCGTGGCCTTCTTTCCGCACAACATCTACTGCAAACCGCATGCGCCCGTCAACCATTCCCGTGTGCTTTAACTGTATGACCAGCCTTTCCAGCGGCATAACCATGCCTGTGAACTTGGCTGTGAACCGTCGCAGACGCGAGCGATCGCCCTCGAGTGTTAGATGTTCCAACGCCGCCACAGCAATGCCTGACGTGCACATGCCATGACACACTGTACCTGGGAGATCGGCTAGAGAGGCAAAAATTGTTGACACGTGGATTGGGTTGAAGTCGGTGGATATCTCAGCATACAATTGATTGCTGACGGGCATTTGGACCTCGACAGATGAGAGACCAGACCACCCTGGAGTGCGTAGGTTTGTCTGATTGCTCCAGGGTCTCGCCTTGCGCTCGAGAAATTGCAACACCGGGTTGCCGGCGCACTTGTCGCATTGAAAGCTAACGACTCCCACTTCTCGCCCAGGACAACCCGGGGCAAGTAAGCAAGCGGTACCCGTAACACAAAGTCTCTTGAAGTGGTCCTCCTTGTCCTCCGCAAGGGTCTCTACATTGAAGACAACGCATTTGCCTACAAGTGAGCCGGCATTCTCGTGTACATGAAACCACCGGCGACGTCGAAGGATGGCTTCGTCCAGGTTGGATTCCAATTGAAGATTCCATCTCGATTTGAGCCGTCTAAATGAGGATCCTCCTTGGAACAAACCGCGATACAGGAAACTGGAGGTGACTGTCATGACTGCTTCCCCGGAGCGGATAATCTGAGCCTCGACAACCACCACCTTGCCTGCATCCTCCACATATGCAGCCTGCACTTGGGATTGGCACCGCACACTATCCCCAACGCGCAACGCATTTGCGCCGGGACAGTACTCGAACATATTGGAACGGTGGACCAGATGCAGTAGGTCACCGTCGAGTTCTCCGACAACCAGAGGCCTAGTGATAACGTCCCACGCAATGATTATTCCGGTGCTAATTGGCAGCACGTCGGAGATTGGTATTACTAGCCGCGGATCGGGGAAGGCCGGGCCCACGGCCGCAGCCAAGTCATCCAGCAGTTCGCGTGTGAGTGTCAAATTGCGACCATGGAAAGTGTCATGGATACTAGATGGAGATCCGACACTCTCCTGAAGCCAAAGCCTACTGTAAAAGGACTTGATTTGTGCATTGCGATTCTCGGTGATCTCGCTCAAGCCAAACGGAACACCCCTGGGATCGAAACGATACACCAATTGAAGTGGATCGGAGACCTGGGGAGGATAGAGATCCACTCGAATATCGATGCCATCCAGGCAAGATATCTTCATGAGGGAGGTCGCCTTACATGGATCTTGAACGGTGACACAAACCTCCGACCGGTCAAAATCATATCGCATGATCGTGTCGGGATACGATGCGACAAACTGCCGGAACGGGTTTTTTTCTCGCAATCGACCCCGAAAGACCATCTTGTCCCCGAAAATGGCGCGCACCCACGCCGGCCAGCTTGGACTGGTGCTCAGGGCACCTGCAGCCATTGACACTGTGCGATCTTCGGTGGGTTCCGAGATGACGGTGGATGAGAGGGAGAAATCCTCGATGGCGATTTCTTTGACACCCGAAACCGAGGACCACGAATCTGGTGTTATTAGTCCGCTGCCCGAGCCAGGTGTTGACTCTTCCGAGCTCACGTCACGCTGCAGACGTTCAATAAGTCCTTGAGTGATCGTATCTAAAATATCCTTGACCGACTCGTCACATTCAAGCGAATATTGAGCTGCCACAGGACCGTGGAGGATGCACACCCGGTCTGCATCTTGGTCCACGACAGCATCAATATCCTCGGCCTGCCAAAGCGAATCTTTCTTGAAAAACAACTCGAAGTCTTCATCCAATGAAGGTATAAAGTTGACGGGCTTCTGACCTGGCATCTGGCTTCTCAACAGAAAGAAGGACACATCCTCCGGGTTTAACACCTCATCTGCGGCAGAAGGACATGCAACAGCAAATGCACTCAGAAACCGTGATGGGCTTTCTAAAAGGACTGACCGTGAAAGGGTTGCTTCCTGACTGGCAGTACCCCGGGTTAGGCGCTCCAACGCACGGGAAGCAACATCCATCGTGAAGTCGGCATATGTTGGGTCGATCCATCGTTCTTGGTGATGAACGTACATTAACTCAACCAGGCGAGCTAGAACTTCAGTGTATGTCATCTCGTCCAGGTTGACCACGTCACCCATATCGTTGCGGCCAAACCACGGCTTTGCAAAGTCCGCGTTCAAGCGCTGTATAATTGAACTGTGGTGCTTTTCCAAGTAGGAAACGCGGTCCTTCCGAGGCAGGCGGAATACAGTCCGGTCCATATCTGCCCATAGCCTGACGCCCCTGGTTGCGATCTTGTGAATCGGTTCACCCATTTCAGACTGGACTGTGATCACCCCACCAGCAGGTCCATCGTATGTCTTCTCCCACTCCCAGTCCGGGACACCGGGAGTACTAACAATGATGTCTTTGACGGCTGATGAGGTATGGGCTTCCCGCGCGACCATCAAGCGACTTCCCAGTAGCACTCCATCAAAAGGCATGCATGGATAACCTAAGGACAGCGCCCATTGACCGCTTATATAAGGATAAATACTATCCCGATTTCCAAACCCACTCCCAGCTACCAGATATATATTAGACTGCTGTCGGATGAGCCCGTAGGTGTTGAGAATGGGTGTGTAGAAGTCCTCAAAAGAGTGATGACCGCCTCCACGCCCACCCGTCCATTGGAGGATAATTGGGAAGTCGGGATGTGCTTTAGCAATATCGACCACCTGTCGTATCGTCGCCACTGAACTAGGCTTGAAGCTAATATGACGCAATCCGATCGTTCGGATATACTCAGATGCTATCTCTAAGGAAGGGACCCCGGCCCCGATCGTCAGCCCGTCTATAGGAACTTGGCTGTGCGATAGGCGACGTAATAGTGCAATCTGCCAGCACATTGCCCGGGGATTGGCATAGATGAGATTGCAAGTGACGCCTCGACCCGGGGCGATATTAGCGACAAGTTTATTGATAGCAGCTGCCATATCAGAGCTGTTGCGATAGCCACCACCCGCTAGTTCTGCGTGGTACCCAGCGTTCATTATGGCGGAGACAAAATCCCAAGGGACAGTAGTCGGTGTCATGCCGGCTGCAATTACGGGAGGGGTTCCCAATAGGCTCGTAATGCGCGTCTCCAGGACCGCCGACCCTGTTCCCAACCGAGGCTGGAACTGCTGGGCCCAGCTCTGAAGCCTTGTCGATGAATCCAGGAGGCGTGGAGAGAATAGGTCCCGCATGGTACCTATCTCGGGATCGCGCGAGTCGAGATCGGCGCCCTGAATGATTCGGATCCCCTTTCCTTCCTGAATCTTTTTCACCATTGCCCCGAGCCCGCCACGATCGAATACAATGATATGTGATGGGGCCTTGGAGGTGCCGGAAATGTATTGTCCAGATAATGCTAAAGGCCAGTCACAAATTTCCCGAGCAATGGCATCAAGCACTGCATGCAATATGTTCCCGCCCGCCTGTCGAAGGTCCTGTCCAGTGAGTGTGTGGTATACGGGAATCTTAAGTTCCCTCGCCGCGATCCGTCGTTCAGAAAAACGTCTCCTGAGTATGCGGGCCGCTTCGTCCAGGTACCGGGTATGGAACGGCGTACTGATCGGAAGAAACCCGTAGTGAATGGATGGCTTTCGCCTGCTGAAAGGGATCCGGCTGGGGTCTTTATCGGGGCTCGTAACGGTTGAGAGATAGCTGCTCACATGTACCAAAGAGGCCACTGGGCCAGCCACCACAAATTGGTCCCGAGAATTGATTAATGCTATCTGAACTTGCTCAGCTGCCGGCAATGTTCTGTTCAGGTGGGCGAGAATGGAATCCAGATGCTCCCTTGTCACTCCCCGCACAGTAAGCATATAAGCAGGCTCGGTATGGAACGCGCTGCGGTCAGAAATCCTGGTAACTGGCGAAGTACTGCTTGGCGCACCACGATGGCATTCCCACCCAAGCCAGAATAATGCTTCAATGGCCAGGTGAGAGTTGGCATAGAAAGAGTCCCACGAATCGCACATTGCCATGACAGTGGCCACCAACAGACCTTGAGAGTGCCCAGTTGTGGCAGTAAACAGCGCACGCAGGTCGCCTGGATTCATATTCAAGACACGACAGGTGACCATGTATCGAGCCAGGCTCAGCACCCCGATCACCGGGACACTGATCGGAGCTTGGGCTATGTCTTCACAGTCCGGTATAGTAGATTTGTCATTGATCCATGTCATCAAGTCCAATGAACGGCCACGATAATGAAACCAGGAAGTTGGAATCCTGGACAGTTGGTAGAGTAGTGTCGCTGCTTGCCCGAGGAAACGCTGAAGCATCGGTCTGTAAGAGGTATACAATTCTGCCAACTCATGGACACACGTCCGACTTGCTTCTCCTTGGCCGCCGAATACAGCCATCAAGTGGAAACCACTCCTCTGCACGTGGTCAAACAGGGCACTCACCGGCCTGCACGAAGAGCCAGCCGAGCTCCCAGGCACTACATCTCCGCTGGCTTCAATGGCACGGTAATAGATCCCGAGCCATCGCTGTCGTTCGCTAGGAACAGTCGTCAACCGCGCCACGAGGCAGTGTATTTCGTTTTCTTCGTGCAGGAATTCAGTATGGAATGCCCGCACAACTGCTGCCAGTGCAGACCTGGATACGCATTCTTGGTCGAGAAGAAACTCAATGAAGGCCAAGCATAACGCAGGAGGGGACTGGGTTGTCTCCCTGTTTAAACCCGACGGCAGTGAAGACACGAACTCTGCCTTTTGCAATTTTAGGGACTGAAAATGCGCGGTAGGAATGGGCAAGACCAGTCTGCTATCCTCGAGGTGGAAAGTAAGATCGACCGTCGGAGGCCGTAACGGGGACGAAACCTGAGAAATTGGCGGCGAGGAGGGAGACAAAGTAGCAAAGACATTTTTCGCGGCCGACGATGCCACATCAGCCGGTGGGATATCCTCCAGGGCCATGCCGACCTTGCCAATGCACAACGGAATCCTGCCAGGAACAGAGTTGTCAGTGGTTCATTGTGGATGATATTATGTCTCGACATCAATCCGCGGAGGCAAAGGAGGGAAACCTAACATCTTTCCACTGTACATCCTTAGGCTTTGGCGGTGGCGCGTCTGATTAGTTGGAAGCTCCCCCTTCGGCAATTTTCTCCACAAGCATGCAGCTGCATGGCTGATCCGGGGTGGCAGGGACAGAGGCTGCTCACTTTCTTCTGCAGGTCTTATTGAAGAAAATTTCTGCCTGGCCGGAGTTCGGCCACAGTAGAGTGCTTCCCCTTGATAGGCTCACACCTGCATCCGTCCGGAGTTTTGCAGACGGAGTTTTAGTACCTGTTCACCCGGAAACCATTGTTCATCTTAAGATGATCGTTGACTGGGGTACGGGTTCAATGGGACCAACACCTGGGAGTATGACATTGTTCGGTCTAGGTTCTCGATGAACGCAATGAAGCACCCATACATAAATCTGAGTCGTCCAGGATATCCTACCCCCATATTTGCGTCTGAACTGGTCGTTACAACGGTCGCGCACTGCGCAGGGGATGGTGGACCATCGATGAAGGCCTGGCCAATATCCTTCCCTTATTTGCATGCCTGACCATTGAGGCGTTGGTATCATATATCAGCCGTGAGGTTCCAATCAGCTGGTTGAAGATATCTTAGCCAGTCCAGGGTTGTTCCCTATGGTTCTTCTTGGGACCATGCCTCCCTCCGCCAGCGACAAGCCAGTTACTGGGCAGGACCAAAATGACCTGGCATACAAACTGTTTATCGAGTTGCTTTCGTAGGTCTTCTGTGTGTTACGGGTACAAAAGTCGTGTACCAGACTGACGAGGTAGATATCAACTAGCGTCTCCAGTACGATGGTAGGTGGCCAACACCACACGGATCGATAGTACAGCTGTTAAAAATGACCAGGATCGAAACGCAGCACGCGCTGCTTCGGAAACAGTCACCAATCCAGCGATTCATTGAGATTGGTCCCCGCAGCACACTCGCAAGGATGGCTAGAAAGTCCGCCGCCATTCATCATGATCAGCATGCTCCATCACAATGGGCCCATTTCCAGTTTCTTTCATACCAGGACGACCAGGACAAAATCCTATATGAGTATCCAGACATCACGTTGCCGATACCAACGTCGAAACCAACCGCACTAGCGCCTAATCCCGCGCAACTGACAGCTAGTATTCCTCGGTCGGAAACTGAACAAAGTGCAGTACCAGGGCCAGCACCAGTATCATCTACTACCGAGGCATTGGGACACGTACCTAGCGCTAGAGTCTCACTTTCGGCCCGGCATATTTTGCTCGCAATGACGGCCCAGAAGCTTCGACGCTCTTTCGACCAAGTACCACTGGAGAAGACGATTCGCGATCTATGTGGAGGTATGCTTTAGTACAGTTCCATGAGATCGCAACATACTTATTATTGCAGGCAAGTCAACTCTTCAAAATGAGCTGACAGGCGACTTGGTCGCGGAGTTCGGACGGATTCCAGAAGGGGTGGAAGACATACCCTTGACGGTCATAGGAGAAGCACTCCAGGGAGGGTTCTCAGGAAAGCCGGGAAAGCAGATGTCGGGGTTGATCTCCAAATTTATATCCAGCAAGATGCCTGCGGGCTTTAATCAAATCTCTGCACAGGACTACCTACAGTCGAGATGGGGCCTAGAAAAGGCCGAAACCATCGTTCCTATATGCCTTGCCATCACTGCGCAGCCGCTAGCCCGACTGGCGAATGCGGATGCCGCACAGGCATATCTAGACAATATAGTTGGCCAATACGCGGCATTTGAAGGGATATCCATGGTACCATCAGTAACACACGCTGAGAGCGAGGCTGCAACGGGCCGGTCTCTAATAGACTCGGCAGCACTCGATACACATCGGAAGGAACAGCGAGATTTCCAGCACAAGCAGCTTGACTTGCTTGCAAATCATTTGCACATCAATCTTGATACCATTGCAAGTGATCCTGCGCGTTCGTGGGATGGCCAGACAGGCTTGCAAGAGAAACTAGAGCAATGGAATGCGGAATTCGATGAGCAATTTTTGCAAGGTATTCGGCCCATTTTCAATGCCAAGCAAGTCCGGCAGTATGACTCTTGGTGGAATTGGGCCCGGGAAGATCTTCTTCTCTGGCTGAACACTTTACAGAGTTCAGCAGAAGTTACGATTCATCGACGGAGTGATCGCGTACGGCGGATTCTGAATCGGTGGGAGCCCAGCTGCACGGATATTGTCATGGCTCGACTGGAAATGATGTCCCCTGAGCCAGCAAGCGGCGATACTTTACCTCAGACGCGTGCCATGGGTGCGATGATGAACGAGATCTTGCAGTTAGGCATTGAGGCCCAATTCAGCGACCCGGCATACATTCACACACAACCCCCTCTAGGACCAAGAACCACCATCTCAGCATCGGGCCACCTCGTGTATGAAGATATAGTTCGCTCGGTAAACAGCTATCCAGAGATTGTGCGTCAAGTGCGCATATCTCCAGCCAGCTCAACGACTGCTATTCCTTTCGTGCATCTCAAAGCGCGTGGCGACGGACAAGATTGGAAATACGATACCCAGGCGACAGAGATACTCCATAACATGTTGGATGTGGGTGTGACTACTGGATTCAGCTACACCGGCAAGACAGTTCTCGTCACAGGTGCTGGCCCCGACTCAATAGGCGCCTGCATTATCCAGGGCCTTTTGGCCGGTGGTGCTAAAGTTGTCGTCACCACTAGCCGCGCGGTCTCTGGAAGCGCCATGTTCTATCGGCAGCTGTTTAGGAGGTACGGGGCTCGAGGTGCAGCTTTGACGCTGCTCCCGATGAATCAAGCCAGCAAGCAAGACTGTGAGGCCTTGGTCGAATATATCTACGGCGCAGACTCTCCTATAGGTAACGACTTGGACTGCATCATTCCATTTGCCGCCATCCCACAGACGGGTGAGCCGAACACCTTAGGCAGCCGGCAGGAGCTGGCACTTCGGGCAATGCTTGTGAATGTGCTGCGGCTGATAGGTCTTATTCGCCGCGAAAAGGAGAAGCGACGCATAGACACCAGGCCTACAATGGTCATTCTACCAATGTCCTGCAATGAAGGTACGTTTGGTGGAGATGGCCTCTATCCAGAGGCCAAGGTCGGGCTCAAGACGTTGTTCAATCGTTTCCACTCTGAGAGTTGGTCAACGTATGTTACCATTTGTGGGGCAGTCATTGGATGGACCAGAGGAACCGGATTGATGCGCTCATCGAACATGATAGCAGCCGAAGTTGAAAAACTTGGTGTTATAACCTTCACGCAAGACGAGATGGCTTTCAATATCCTAGCCTTGATGACACCAGCGATGGTCTCATTGGCTGAAGAGACACCTATATATGCGGATCTAACGGGCGGGTTTGGGGCCATGTGGGATGCCAAGGAACATATCGCAGCAAGCCGCAAGACACTGGCCGAAGAGCTCCGTTTGCAAACTGCCATGGCAGAAGAAGACGCCCATTATGAAACCACGATTCAGGGATCGCATAGAAGATCTGAATGTTTTGAGGCAGACAATCCAGTCGAGCGCGTGAATCTGAAGATTGGATTCCCACCTTTGATGTGCCATGAAGAAATAACAGCGGGTCTCCCTGATGTTCAAGGGATGATCGACCTTTCACGCACCGTCGTCATCGTGGGATTCTCCGAGCTTGGACCATGGGGCAGCTCTCGCACACGATGGGAGATGGAACACCAGGGTCAATTCTCATTGGAAGGATATGCTGAAATGGCGTGGATAATGGGATTGATCAAGCATGTCAATGGTGACCTCAAGGGGCAGCCATATGTTGGATGGATTGACGCACAGACGGGTGACCCTGTCCGTGACGATGAAATCCCTGGGAAGTATGACCAGCAGATCATGAACCACTCTGGCGTCCGCTTGATCGAGCCCGACGCACTAAACCCCTATGATCCGTCGCGCAAGGAGTTTATGCATGAAGTAGCGATAGAGGATGACCTGCCGCCATTTGAAAGCTCCAAACCAGCGGCCGAGGCATTTAAGCTGCGTCACGGGGATCAAGTCTCTATCCAGCCAATCAAGGGCTCTGATAATTACCGCGTGTCTGTGAAGAAGGGAGCGGTGGTCATGATCCCGAAAGCAGTTCCTTTCCATCAAGTCGCAGGGGGGAAGATCCCCAGGGGCTGGGACCCCTTGCGATATGGCATCCCGGAGGATATTGTACAACAAAGTGACCCGACTACGTTGTATGCACTTTGCTGTGTCTCCGAAGCGTTATTATCCGCCGGAATTAAAGACCCTTATGAGATGTACCGACACATTCACGTATCCGAGTTGGCCAACTGCCTAGGCACAGGGGGTGGTACCATGAAAACTATCCAGAGTATGTATCGCGACCGTTTCCTTGACCGACCAGTCCGAGGGGATATTATTCTCGACCACTTTTCCAACACTATGGGCGCCTGGGTCAATATGTTGATCTTCTCTTCCACGGGACCATTAAAGACCCCAGTCGGCGCTTGTGCCACCGCCATCGAATCTTTAGATAGCGGCTGCGAGGCGATTCAGACTGGAAAATGCAGAGTGGCTATTGTTGGCGGTTGTGATGATTATGGTGAAGAGGTAGCGTATGAGTTCGCTAGCATCAAAGCCACAGCCAACAGCACAGATGAGTTGGCCAAAGGCCGTCGGCCAGGTGAAATTTCCCGCCCTACAACAAGCTCGCGTGGTGGGTTCGTGGAATCAGCGGGGTGTGGTGTACAAATCGTAATGGCTGCTGACCTTGCCCTGGAAATGGGACTACCCATATATGGGGTTGTTGCTTACAACCAAATGGCCAGTGACCAGATCGGGCGGTCCATTCCAGCTCCAGGAAAGGGAATCCTGACAGCGGCACGAGAATCAGTGGAAGCGCGGGATTCACCGTTGCTAAATATTGATTTCCGACGCACGGGATTCGAGAATGAGATGGCCGACATCTATCAACGAGAGCTGGACGGACGCCTTGACAAGATAAGTCGTTCTGAGGCTGCCACGCGAGTGATCGAGAAAGCAACAAAGTCCAGAATACGCGAGGCTCAGCACCGGTGGGCAAGTAATATCCGCCTCCAAGACCCAGGGATATCCCCCATCAAGGCAGCTCTGGCAACATGGGGCCTAACGATTGACGACATACGTGTTGCATCGACCCATGGGACTTCAACCCGCGCCAACGAGATCAATGAGGGTGAGGTGATCAACGCTCAAATGAACCACCTGGGAAGACGTAAAGGAAATCCGCTGTTGTGCGTATGCCAAAAGTCATTGACCGGGCATCCCAAAGCAGCTGCAGGGGCGTGGCAGCTGAACGGTTGCATACAAATGTTCCGCGAAAGCATCGTTCCAGGAAATCGCAATGCGGACAATATTGACGAGGAACTTCGCAAGTTTGAGCATCTTGTTTATCCCATGGACTCCATTAAGGTATCCGAGGTGAAAGCAACGATGCTTACCTCCTTTGGATTTGGACAGAAAGGTGCCCTGAACATCATGGTGGCACCCAAGTATCTCTTCGCAGCTGTACCAGTCACGAGCTTTGAAGAGTACCGGGCTCGTGTGACAAAGAGGCAGCGGACAGCAAATGCAGAGTTTGTCTCTCGACTGCTGAAGAATTCCCTGGTTCGGGTAAAGTCCGACGCACCGTGGAAGGGGCCCGAGGAGATGCGACGCGTATTTTTGAACCAAAACAGTCGCTTAACTACAGATCAATCTTCATTTACTGACGAATCGCGATCTGAAGCTCATGGCCCATGCATCATGGGCGAGCCAAAACCCAAAGATTTCCGGAAAAGGTCAGCGACGTCGGCCGTAGTTCAATCCCTCCTGGAAAACGTAATGCAGCGTGCCACCGCATCCTCACCCACTAGCGTTGGGGTTGACATCGAGGATATAATGAGCATTAACATTGAAAACCCAAATTTCATCCTCCGCAATTTCACACCTGCCGAGTGTGAGTATTGTTCCAAGGCCCCGAACCCACGCGCCTCATTTGCGGGTCGTTGGAGTGCCAAGGAAGCCGTCTTCAAAAGCCTTCAGACGTCTTCCATAGGTGCAGGGGCTGCAATGAACGAGATTGAGATTCTGGGGGCAAATGGAATCCCTTGCGTCATGGTATGTTGCCATGGTCATCCTTCTTTTATTGCAAGTACGAAGTATGCTAAGAACAATTAGCTCCATGGAAAGGCTCACGACGCGGCTGCGTCCAAGGGAGTTAGCAGTATTGAAGTGGCCATCAGTCATTGTGCTGAAACAGCGATTGCCGTAGCGCTGGCCACAAGAAGGCCGTAAGCGAGTGCCGAGGTTCATGGCAGGACGACGTTGTTAGTGATCATGGAGAGATTTTCCTGGACTTTGCTGGTTTCGAGTTAGCATCAAGGGGTACGCATAGGAAATTTGAGCAGCTAGATAAATTATCTGGCCCATGTGGTTTGGTGGATGATCCTGAAAGCTCAAGCTGAAAGGTGAAGGCTGAAAGATGAAGCTGAGGGCGGGCGACGACGCCGCGGGCGCCAAATGGCCTTTCCCCTTTGAGTTCGCGTGTCGCCAGGGCCCCAGGGCCAATCACCGCTCCGAGATTCCTCCCGCCGGGTGCGCGTCGGCTTTGTTTGGCTGATCAGCGGAGGACATGATACAGCTCGCCTAGGTACTCCGTAGACAATACTATGACCCAACTAGTTTACCAGTTTGCTTATCAGAAGAAAGGCCACGTGAAAAAATCTCACACAATATGGGAATGAACTAAATCGTTTCAGATACAAAGGACAAACCGCATCCTTCCACGCCTCCGCCCCGTCATCTCCCGCCAATTCATTTCACGTATACAGTAAGATCACCAAAAAAGTCTTCGAGGTCGAGGAGCGGCGCCTTGGTGTAATGGCTGACCATGTCACAAACGCGCTTCGAGTCGGGGTCTGTTATCAATGGGCTACCGCCATGAGTGACAGGGGACCCCACGTGAGAAAGGAGGCACTCACCCCATCCAGAACTCCTCCCCACTCCTTAGTCGCTTCCTCCATTGCTTTGTCTCTTCCCCTTCGCTGACAGTATTCCAAATCATTGCGCCCGGCCATTGGACATCGGCGACGATCTGTTTAACCGGTATATTGGGGCAGACGGAAAAGACCAATGTGAACTCGTCGATCTCCAGGAATCCTTTGGGATCGTTCACCACGGTGATCCCAATACTTTTCAGGAACTCCACATCCGTCTCATCATACCACGGATCCTGCGCATAACACTGGATCTCTTTTCCGTCATTGATTCCTCTTTCCTTCAAAGCTGTCGCCATGGTCGCGATCGCGGCGTGTTGGACGTATGAGCGCGTCGAAAAGTGGTCGTTTTGGACTTTCGCCAAGGTGCCTAGACCAAACGCGACGATCTTGTGAATGTGACACGAGAACCTCATGGTGGTCAAGTGGCTCTGCAGCTCCTGGCAGGTTCCACTTTCTAACCATTCCATGCGGGCCTTGTCGAATGCAGCACAGACCTCCTCGAGAGTGCCGTCCGGGTGACTCGGGTAGTGGGTGTACAAGATGGAAACAGGGGCCTGGTCGCTCAGGATCATGGTTGGAAACGAAGGGTGGATATACGTCAACAGCTGGATGCTCGTATAACCAATGCAATACGTGGTGCTGGTCCAGTCAGATGATGGCGCGCCTGGGTCTCTTCCCTGCAGGATGACTTACGCAAAATCCGAGCATATGGCGGGAACCTTGAGGCTATGCGTGCTTGGTACATCGTCCAAGTCGGTGATACAGACCTCCTCCTTTCCTGCTTCGATCTGCTGGTGAAGGCCTTCCAAGAGCGCACGAGGGAAGAGTAATTTCCCAGAGTTGTACAGCCGGACCACATGCTCCAATCTCTTCTTCAGCTTGGCCACTGTCTCCATATCCTCGATCGGACTTTCCATGTCCTCCACCCCGAGGTCGACCATCGGGCCCTGTCGGGACGCTTCCCCGTCAGCTTGGTGTTGGCGGGAAACTGAGGCTGAAGAAGACGGATATTCGATGCTTGCCATTGAGAGGAGCGCAGAACAATGCCCATGCGTAGTTGTCCAAGGCTGATCCCCATGATGAATTTATACAACGGTCCAAACGAGAAACCCATATTCTTTATTTTCTCCTCGATGATTGCCGTGCGCGCGGCTGGCTTAATTGTTTGCTCACGCCCAGGAATAGATAGCCGCATGGGTCTCACCGCTGTCAATCCCCGACGGGGGCGCGTCCCCGGGGCGATCCAACCTGTTGGGATTCTGATGGGGGTGTGATTGGTCGCCGCATGCCCGGGTAATCCTATTAATATCACCCAAACGGACAACCGGTGGTGTTTGGGCGGGAAATAGTGCGTTTCCAGAGATAGAACCTGTTGGCTGGCTCTAGTGGATTACTATACTAAGTAATATTAGGGTATTTATATCCAGATGCAGCCGCGCCGACGGGGGTAGCGACGACCAGGGTATTAATTAAGGATGATTATTTTAAGCAGTACAACTGACATGCATGTGGTTAGGGCTCCTTCATCTATATCTGAATTACATTGTTGCCTACTAGTATCGCCGGTTCAGCCTCGCCTCCTCTTGACAGGACGACCCCTAAGCGCCCGCGCCCAACAGTTCACGATCTACTGATTGGAGTTGTTGCCGCGACGTCATGCGCCAGGAATGCACGATCAACATCATGATTGCTATTCTGGTCCACGATTCAGCTACTAATGCAGTGCAGGCTTCAAATGGACGATCAAATATAATGTGTCATGCATCTATGACTCTCATCGGCAGATTCCGATGCTGTGCAGAAGCTAAAGTCTCTAAACGCGACCGTCTGATCTCAGGAGATCGTGTTCTGGTCATGAAGTCTTGTCTCTCAACATGTGTTCAGATTGCCCATGCAAACTTTCATCCTTGCCAAGTACCTGATCGATATATCACTGATACTAACGCTAGCCGCTTCAATGTGTAGCATCTGCTTTATCCAGTACATTCACCGTCGTATTTTCAAAATGAGGGCTTATTCTTCCTCGATATCAACGATGACGAAGATCCGCGATATAGTCGGAATGTCTCAACCCTTAGATTAGACACCTCGGTTTCAAATAAAAATGACTTCTTTATCGGTCAAAACCGCTTTTAGCTAGTTCAATATCCTCAGCAGTGGAACAAGCGTTGTCATTATGGCCCCATACATTTCATTTGCTCGTAAACGCTTCTGATGAGTTAAGTCTGTTATAATGCAGATGCATCGCCCTGCATGGACTCGGAGTTCGGAGTTAGGTACATATTGAATCTGCTTACTTTGCTGCATCTTCAACCGATTACGTATCTTGGCAGACATCAGGGACTCCTGCAGAACTTTTAGATACTGTGCAGATGTGCACATCAGAGCGACAGCTTGATCGCCGAAATTTCGAGGCATGCAACACCCCGAGCTTATAACCTGTCAATAAAGCAAGGCTTCAAGGAATGCGATGGAAAGCAATACCAGATGCAGCTGACGGGATTCAGACAGATGCAAGGCATCAGATGAAATCACCTGACCTGCAGGGTATCAATAACAGCTGAGTTGGCAAAGGGCTGCTACCTTGCATATGGGCCGGGCAATTGAATTAAAAACTCAAACCAGACCTGTCCAGTGTCCACCAATATCCCACCCCAAGGCTTTTTGGACTTGTAGCCGACATCATGGCCAACCTTCCCCAAGGGATCCTCCCTACGCTTCCATGTTCCCTGCCGAAATGCCACCTTCCCGAAGACATCGATGCGGCTGCTGTCGCTAGGAAATTCACGACCCCGCTCAACCCCTTGTCGCTCGACCATTTCACGTCAGATGCCTTGTGGAGAGATAGTGTTGCGTTGACAGGCACCTTGCGGACGTTCTACTCCGCCGCTACTGTCACCGAGGCCTGGAATGGTCGATGCCTTGCTCGCGAGGCGCAAGGCTTTCAGCTTGCTCCCGAAGCCGCACGAGCGGTTCGCCCTGCCCCATGCCTGGGCTGGATTGAGGTCCCATTCACCTTTGAGACTGAGGCAGTGCCCGCTGCCACGTGCTCGGGGTTTCTTTCCTTGGTGCCGGATGGAAATGGCGGCTGGAAGATCTGGTTGTTGAGGACTATACTGGAGGAGTTTCGGGATCAGCCGAGCGTGGATGAGCTCGAGCCCAATACCCATACGGCACATCAGCCTTTCCATGATGGCGCAAACTATGAATGCGTGGTTGTTGGCTGTGGACAATCCGGCTTGAGTGTCGCTGGCCGGCTGCAGGCTTTGGGGGTGTCTTATCTCGTGGTTGACAAGGCACCTCGCGTGGGTGACTCCTGGCTCCAGCGATATGAATCGATGAAATGTATACCCCAGCCTCTTCCATGCGTTTCTTACATCCATGACGAGACTGACCCAAGCAGTGCATAGTCACCGAGATGCCGCCCAGCTCCCTTTTGGACCTACCTTCAGTGACGAGTACCCTGATCTAATGAACAGACAGGAACTGGCCCGGGGTTATCAGGATTGGGCTAAGAGATACTCTATCGTAGGGACCATCAACCTACCTGTCAACTATTCAACCTAACCGTAACAGAACATCTCTTTCTCTACGGAGCTGGTCTCCGGAACCTGGGATGAGGACCATCACAAATGGACTCTACAACTGCGTCAGCAACAGGGCGAACAAGCCACCACCATATCCGTCACATGCTCCCACGTCGTCATGGCTGTTGGCGCCGGAGGCCATGAGCCCGTCCGGCCCACATATCCAGGCGAGGTAAGCCACTCTTTCATCGGAGACCAGGCTACTAACCACCCTAGGATATATTCCAAGGTGACATTCTACACACCGCACAATACAAAAGTCCCCGTCAGTGGCAAGACAAGCATGCAGTAATCATCGGATCTGCTAATTCCGGTAAGTTACGACTTGCCCACCAGAACGCTCCAATCTAACCAAGCAGCACACGACGCGGCAGCAGACATGGTCGGGACTGGGATGGCCTCCATCACCATGGTCCAGCGCAGCCGGACTTGTAAGGACCCCGATACACTCCCACTTGACCATTCGCATCTAACACGCCCAGGTATCATCCCAGTAGAATACATGCCCAAAACTCGGAAAGGTACGCTCCCTACCCTATCCCCCCAAGAACCTATCTAACCTCAACCACAGGATCAAAACTCGCCGACCGCCAACAACTCTCCACTCCCCATGCCGTCAGCCGTCTCGTAAGCATCCTCAGCATCCGCGCTCAGATCGCGCAGAACCCCGAACGATTCGACGCTCTCGAGCGCGCCGGCTTCAGGGTCGATCGGGATGGCGAAGTCGTCGCCCACGTCACCGAACGATACGGAGGGCATTACATGGATGTTGGGAACTGCGCCAATATCGCCAAAGGAATGGTTCGTCTTCACCCACACCCACACCCACTGCCACTGTCACCACAACTCGAACCTCACCCCATCAACTACTGACCGTGTTCTGTACGCATCAGGTAAAAATCAAATCCAACAGCCACCCCACATCCTTCACCCCCACCGGCCTCCTCTTCGCAGACAACACGCATCTCCCCGCCGACGTAGTAATTTTCGCCACGGGCTATAAATGGAACGTGCGGGATACAATCGGGGAACTCTTCGGCCCGAAGATCTACGACCAAGTTGAAGATTACTGGGGTCTGGATAAAGAGGGGGAGATTAGGGGGGCGTTTAAACCTAGTCCTCGTATGTATTACCTTTTCTTTCCCCTTCAGTTTTGATTCGGTTTTCTCAAAGAGGAGGAATCATGGACTAATGGGTTATGGTATATAGATGGGCATATATGGTTCATCTCTGGAACGACGACTCACTCACGATACTATTCGCGATTTATTGCCCTGCTGGTTAAGGCGGATGTTATGGGGTGTCCGGTGCCGGTGTATCGGGATACTCCTGGCGATGGGGTTTCGAAACTTAAGTAGGGGAATGAGAACTGGGAGTGGGTTTTGGAGCTGGGGTGGAAGGGTAGAATTCAACACTGCGCGATCGTTCGGTCAGGAGCCGAGTTTACGAGTTAGCAACTGAAGTATTGATTATTGCTTCTCGAAGATATCAACATCATCTAGATCATCATATATACACCATTCCCTACCTCTACTGTATATGAAATGGTATTGCATCAATCAGACCCCCCACTCTTCCCCGACCAAAACTCACATTCCCTCCTCCCCCACTCATCACCCACCAACTGGGCCGCCACACCCTTCCCCACTCCACCCGCCCGCTCATCATTCCCCTCCCCAAACACCATCACCTTCTCCCCATCCGCCTTCCCAGCCCGATACCTCTCCCAGCGCGGTCTACCCTCCCACCGTCCTTTTAGAGCATTCGGATCCCCATGTACCACGAACGAAGTCACATACGCGTGAAACATCCCCGCTACTTCCTCTTGAGCGTCCGAGATACTTCTTACGGCAGGGTTAAAGGTCTCGTACTCCATTTGATCAGCGTGGTTCGCACCACCGAGGACAGTCTTGTTCAGAGCCCAGCGGTACAGAAAGATCGGTTCCTCGGAAAGAGAGGAGGCGAAATGTGCGGTCTGGCGAACGGGACAGACGTACGCGTAGTGGCCGTAGGCTGCTTCGAGGCGTTTGAACTGGGGCCCGATGGGGAGGGGACGGGTTTCAGTGTAGGGGGAGGTAGGGTCCGTGGCGGGATCTGGGTAGAGGGCGTTGATGGTTTGGATGTCCGAGGGGGTGTAGGCGGGGAGGAGGGTTTGGAAGAAAGTGGTGAATTCGGAGGAGGTGGAGATGTTGTGGGGGACGTAGTAGGTGCCTTCGTTGGAGTTGAAGCCGGTGAGGATGGGCATTTGGTTCCAGTGGTTGGAGTGCCAGGCGTCGATGGGGCGGTGGTGGATGAGGTCGTTGTCGATGACGGGTTGGAAGGCCCAGCGGAGGGAGGGGTTGTATTTGTCGAAGGTGGTGTAGGAGGCTGTGGTGATGGTGGTGGAGGGGAGGGAGCGGAGGCAGGGGAGGATGGAGGAGGAGGGGAGGTTGGCGCACCCGGTGGTGGTGAGGAAGTCGGTGAATTGGGCTTCGTGGAGGGATGCGTTGTAGGGGTGGACGGCGCGGGAGGTTGCGGCGCCAGATTCAATCACGGCGCGTTGGAATAGAGGTGCCTTGGGGGTGTGGTTCATTATGTGGTGGGCTATCTGGTGGGGGTTAGTTGGTGGTGGTGGTGGTGGTGGGAGGGGGAGGCGTACGGAGTGGGCGCCGGCGGAAAGGCCGATTAGGGTCACCTGGGATGGATCGCCGTGGAATTGCTCGATGTTGTCTTGCACCCACTGCAGCAATAGGACCTGGTCGTGGAGACCCAGGTTGAGGATGTCTTCTTTGGCGGTTAGGGTGGAGGGGAGGAATCCGAGAGCACCGATGCTGGAATTGTTAGTTGATGTGGGTGGGGGGGCCGGTTGGGACGTACCGGTAGTTGAAGCTGACTGCGATGAAGGGCTCATCGGACCAGGCGACCATTGATGCCGTGTTGTGCATGGACGCTGGTCGGTCAGCTTAATGTATTCTACCTGGAGGTTGACTCCTACCAGTGCCGCGGTTGTAGGCCCCTCCGTGCACATAGACAGCAACGGGAAGCTTTCCTTGGACGCCGTGGGGTCGGAATACGTTGACAGTGAGACAGTCCTCATCTCCACCAGTGTCTTTAGGATTCAAGAGCTGCTTTCCCGGGCATCTGTAAAGTTAGAATTGATCTCCGTGACGCAGGAAGAACGTACCGTGGACCGAATTCACTCGCATCGATGAGAGCGTCGGACGCATTGACGGCGATGGCACGACGGAAGCGCAAATCCCCAATTGGGGGCAATGCGTATGGAATTCCGCGGAAAGCATCAACGGGGCTTTTGAGTGTGTCAGTCAAGGTGGTGCCGACGACGGTGCCCTGGGGGATGATGATGCGAGGCCGGTTATAAAGCACGACATGGTGTAGTGGTGCGGGCAGCCAGGAAGCGAGGAGGGTTTGAATCTGGTTGCTGGGCTGGGATGCGGGCTGTTGGACAAAAAGTAGAAGTAGGACTGGCAGGACAGCCAGGACAAGTGAGCGTGTGTTTAACATGCTGAGTGGTGTGGTGGCTTACCTGAATGGTGTGGGAGGGACTACGATGTATTTATCAGACGGGGATACTTCTGAGGCCGAGCGGGTCTCCACGTCTTTTCCCCCTCTTATCGGCCGGCCTTATCGCTATCTCGGACTCTCTCCGGAATCGGGGGCCTCCGGAGCCTTGTTCTGCCGCACCCCGGAATGACGGCCGGCCATACCGGCCATCGGGCGGAGTTGCCTCCCTCATATTCGGCAGGAGCTGCAATATACCACTTCAACGTGGCTGATACATGATGTGAGACTAGTTCCCAATCTCGACCGGTATTCTCTATTTCCCTGAATTCATATTGTCCAGATATCGCGCCTATCGGGCGCGGGATGAGAATGGCCGTCGCCTGCCGCTCGATCGGGCGCCATTGCGGCAGGACAGGATCGGTTTACTATGATATCGTGCATCTTAGCATGGTTGAGTCCGCATCTTCGATCAATATCACCAAACCCTCCAGCTGGTTAGCATCCTAGGGCCCCCTTTTCGGTCAGGTAGGACTCTTGTTCTTCTCCTGGTTGTTCGGAGAGGCCAACACCCCCGATGGTGGTCGGTCACTCTCCCCCTTCGGGGCTAATGCATAAGTGCCTGAGCGGCCAGGTGCATCTCCTTTCCCTCACCTGGGGTAAGCTATCGAAGATCGCAGGAGGGGAATACTCTTCCGAGAGCAGCTCATGACGCCTTCATGCCTGACGGCCACTCACGATGCAACACGTCACATTGGTATGTACATTTATATAATCCCCAACACATGCAGGCTTGACCCCTTTTTGACAGTATCTCGCTTTGCAGTCGCTCGACCTAGTCACGGCTCTTTACGCTCATCAAGCCTGAATCCGACATCATGCGACTCCTCAACTCCGCGACTTTTCGGCTAAGGGATTTCCCTAACCATGGTGAAATTCCAGAGTACGCCATCTTCTCGCATACGTGGCTACAGGTGAGCGAGGGCACCGAACTTGTGTTCGAAGACCTTCCCTCCAGTCTCGAAATCAGCGTACGTGAACAGCAGGTTGAAGGATATAAATACATGTTTCCCAAAGCCTATCAGGGCTTCCGCAAAGCCTGGCTTTGTTGCCAGCAGGCCTTGCGCGACGGCATCCCCTGGGTGTGGATTGATACGTGTTGCATCGACAAGCGGTCAACTGTCGAACTCAGTGAGGCAATCAATTCGATGTTTCGTTGGTACAAAAATGCGAGACGCTGTTACGTATACCTTGCCGACCTGGACGTTACCGCAGAAGGAGTGACGGTGGAACAGTTGAAGTCCTGCAGGTGGTTCGAGCGCGGGTGGACATTGCAAGAACTCCTAGCGCCGTCAGAGGTTCTGTTTTTTGAGAAGAATTGGATTTTTCTCGGTTATAAGAGTACTATGGACAGCATAATATCCGATAGAACCGGGATTGATTCCGCTATATTACGCGGTTGGCGGAGGCTGACTGATGCGAGTGTGGCCGAGCGCATGTCTTGGGCATCCGGACGCAAGACCACCCGCGAGGAAGATATCGCATACTGCCTGATGGGCATCTTCGACGTGAACATGCCTCTACTCTATGGTGAAGGGGAAAAGGCCTTCATTCGTCTCCAGGAGGAGATAATCCGAAATTCAGATGACCAGTCCTTGTTTGCCTGGTCGTTGACGCAGGGTGGCTCAAGTTGGCAGAACGTTCCTTGCGGTCTCCTCGCGAGCCATCCGTCCAGTTTCGCCAATGCAGGAGACATCGTCCCAATGACCGACCACGATTCCAGCACCCCTTACACTTTTACCAATTGTGGTTTGAATATATCCCTGATATTAAGACCATTCTCTGATGACGGGTTATATCATGGCCTATTGAACTGCCGTTTTCGCAATCAGGATGGGGACCAACAGCTCGCCCTCCGGCTTAAATCGAGAGGTACTGCCCTCAAACGCAAGCAGTTCTATCGGGTTTGCCCAGCGGAAGTAGATTGTGTGCCGCAATCTTCAAGTGCCGATTCCGAAGACAATGTCTACATCATCAAACAGGGGATCGTTGTCCCCAATAACTCTTTCTCTGTAGTATGGAACGTCAGCACACGGTTTAGCGTGGCAGTGAGGCCCAGTAACTCTTATAATTCCAAGCGAAAGTTGCTCACCCTGCCAGACGACACTCGGAACAACAGAGCCGCGATTATTGTGAGGGACCGCCTATCCGAGGGTACAGGGACATCTGTCAAAGGTTTCGCCATTGTCGTCGGCTTCAACGAACACTATCCTGCCTGTGTCTGTCTACCCATGAACAGCTCCGACGATTGGACTCGCCTGTGCATGGAAGCTCAATTTTCTCGGGGCAGCAGCCAGTTCGTCATGGCAGACGGCACGAAATTTGTGACTGATTTAGTCAACGGTGACCAAATCAACCGGATTACCATCAGCGAGCTTGTTACTACGCCATCCGGTGTTCAACTTCCCATCATGGAGAATCATCCGGCTTATGTTGGTGGAGCTATGAATTCCAGTGTCTTGAGCCCCGATGTCATATCCACGCAGCAGCACACTGAGCATGACTTCCATGGTCCTTCAACTCGATCCCATCCGCCTATTAATTATGGCCCCCCCCGTGCGCTATCACATGCGGGTTGTACAACACAATGAATTTTCTCTCTATCCCAGCGGCTGGTGAATCTACCGGATATTGATAAGAGGGAAATATGTATATACTTGGCAAACCACATGCATATACCATCTCCAGCCACCCTTCTACCTCCAGCCATGGCATCACCTCAACCGACCAACTATTTCTCCTTGCGCCGTGTATCCAATCCGCAGCGACATATGTCCTCTGGCAATGTGAATCCAGGACAATTATACCTTGTTTAACAAGTCCCCTTTTTTCTGTTATCTCAGCAGGATGGTAGTCATCTGCTACCCTTGACACTGGATAGAAAGGCTGCAACATTCCTCCAGTTTCGGTGGTCATATGATTGAGCTCACGCACAATCATCACATCTACCCGAAAGTTTTGATGCGATGTAGCAATGGTGCTCGGACCGGACCGCTCCGGTTGCGTCCCCCACCCTTTTGGATTGGCTCCCAGCCATCGTGAGTCAGTAGAAACAGGGATATTCTCTGTGCAAAGAAGCAATGTAGCCAAGCCATACAGAGGTGGAGACACAGGAGTCCCTGGTGAAGACGCTTAATGAATGACTGTGGGCATCACACAATGAAGATTGATCAAGGTGTACCGGTTAGATAGCCGGACCATGTTGCCCAATATTTCCTGGTGCTGTCCAACCACGGCGGACTTTGATTTGATGAGGATGGCTTTGTGTTATCATGTTTGGGTTGATAAATCTAATCGACAGCCAGAAACATATCCTGAACTGTTCCCTTATAATACCTGGCGGAGGATACCTTGACTATACAACCCAGTTCTCCCAATCTTCCAGTCCGTCAAGACCATCAACTTCATATTCAGTCCAATAAATGCAGGCCAACTGTCTACGAGCCGTCTACTATCTGTCAATCTGTCACTCGGCCCCAGTTGTAAAGCCGATGGGGACCCCACATCTCCATCTTATCTCCCCGGCCTTATCTTCGGATCGTGTCCGATAGTCTTTACGTGACCGACTACTATCAGACGCGACTCTTGATACCTCTCGAGCCATCGTGGACCATGCTGTTTAAGGCAGGATAATCCGGTTGCGTTCACCTTATCAATATGAAGCAGATCCAGGCGATACCATGTTATCCATGCACGCCTGGCCGACCTGCTTGGCGGTCTCCCGGCTTCGTGAGGGGTAAAGCATAGTTGCGACCATTAATGCACTTCATATCTATTTAACTGCCCAGTGTGGCTGTCATCTCGAAAACATGCAGAACATTCTAACGCCGCCATGACGGGAGCTATATTGCATAAGTCTCCAGACCCAGAGAAGACCATCCCGGTCACTACCAAAGTAGACGATGTCGACGTCGGCCAGATTTCGCAGCTCGATGAAGCGGAGATCTTTCTGCACGAGCATGGAGTATCCCATGAACAGCTCCAGGAGATGCTCAATGACCCTGTTCGGACGAAGAAACTACGCAGACGGATCGATATGATTCTGCTGCCGCTCATGTGTGGTACATACTGTCTGCAGTACATTGACAAGCAGGTGAGTGACTCGCCCTGTCGTAGACCATGCTAATAGCCGCAGGCTCTCTCTTACAGCGCTGTGTTTGACCTGTTTACCGATGCTCACATCGACAGTAACCAGTATAGCTGGCTGGCCAGTATCTTCTACTTTGGTATGCTCATCCATTCAACAGCACCTTGCTGGACTAATCCGTCAGGGTACCTTTTCTGGGAGTATCCCGCGAGCTACATTGCCCAACGGTTTCCTATCGGAACCGTCGTATCATCCTTCGTGTGAGTTTTCCGTCACTACTTACATGCACATCCATACTAACCAGACAGAATCGCCTGGGGCGCCATCCTCATGATTACTGCCAGCTGCAGCAACTTCAACGGCCTCGCCATCTGCCGCTTTCTGCTTGGATGCTTCGAATGTAAGCTCCATCACAACTACACCCAAGCACTGCTGATTCCTCAGCCCCCATCACCCCCTGCTTCATGATGATCGTGGGAATGTGGTACGTCCGTCAAGAGCAGCCCTTTCGCGCCGGCATCTTCTACTGCTGCAACGGCGTGGGATCAATGGTAAGCCCCCCCTCTCTCCAACAAACGTATCTAACCAACCAGGTCGGCGGTCTCCTCACCTACGCAATCGGTCAACTGGACACCTTTCCCGTCTGGCGTGCTGTGTTTCTAATCTGCGGCGGCGCCACCATCATCTGGGGTATTCTCATGATGCTCTTCCTCCCGAACAGCATCCTCTCCTGCAAGCGCTTCACCGCTGAAGAAAAGATTCTTCTCATCGGCCGAGGAAAGCAAAACCAAACCGTTCGTCCCAACCCCACATCCAATTACCACCCAACTCCTGCATCCCCACCTAACAAGGATACCAGGGCATCCTCAACCGCTCCATAAAATGGTATCAAATCCGCGAAGCCCTCCTCGACCCCCAAGTATGGCTACTCTTCCTCTTCACCCTCCTCAACGAGACCATTAACGGCGGCGTCGCAAACGTAACCCCTTCCCCCTATCCCCAAACAAACCCACCACCACCAAATCACCAACTAACAACCGATCGAGGAATCAGTTCGGCAAACTAATCATTAAATCCCTCGTCACCAACCCCCTCCTCACCACCGTCCTCGCCATCCCCCAAGGCGCCTTCCAAGTCCTCTTCATCCTGACCGGAACCTACCTCTCCACCCGCTACCAAAACATCCGCACCCTCATCATGGCCCTCTACCTCATCCCCACCATCATCGGCGTCTGTCTCCTCTGGAAACTCCCCCGTACGAACCGCTATGGCGTGTTATTCGGCTATTACATTGTACATCCCCCCCCACCCCCCGCCCCCCAATCCCAATCCCAATCATCCCAATCACAATAACACTAATCGAATACATCAACAGATCGGCTCCTTCGTAACCCCCCTCGTCCTCTCCCTCCAACTCCCCTCCAGCAACATGGGCGGATACACGAAGCGCGTCACCGCCACCGCATTCGTCTTCCTGGCCTACTGTATCGGGAATATCATCGGTCCGCATGCGTTTCTGGCCCGCGAGGCGCCGGTATATGAGACGGGTTGTAAATTGATTCTGGGGTGTGCCGTATGTCAGGTTTTTTGTGCGGGGGTGTTGAGGGGCGTTTTGGTGGGGAGGAATAGGAGGAGGGATGGGGAGGTTCGGGTTGATGTTGGGGATGGGGATGGGGTGGATGCGGGGGTGGGGCAGGGGGGAGGGGAGGGGGATGGGGAGGTGATGGCTGATTTGACGGATTTTGAGGTACGTCTTTATGCCTTCCTTTTCCTTTTTGATATAGGTAGGGGTGGATATGGTGTTGGATGGATGCTAATCTGTATGGTATAGAATCCGCGGTTCCGGTATGTTTATTGAGGGTACTACTACCTACAGAGGGATCCATTTTATGAATGGACGAACTGAACTACGAAATGAAATCGGATCATTTGAGCAAGGATCGGGATAAGTCATACGAAATAATCTGAGAATAGTAGAAATGTCTGTCTATGATATGTGTGCTATTCTTGTTCAAAATAAATACAATTTCCCCGTGAAGTGAAGACAGAAAAAAAAAAACCATATAGAAGCCGTAGACAAACTGTTGGTCTTGAATTTAAGCGAGGAAGGATATACTTTACTACTATTGCACTGTGTATTGATCAGGATGAGGTATCATTCACGGGAAAAAAAATTCATTCATCTAGCTATGTCTACAGTATGTGCCAGGTCCTCAATGGAGGTATGCCATCTCAACAAGTTGTAGGACACACCTCTAGTACGTCGCTGGTAAATCTAACTCAATATAAGCACTTCTTCGGCACAACCACAGTCATGGACAGGCTGGATTGCAATTTGACATCCGTGCTGAATTCTGTTTCTACGGAAGAAAAGGGATAAAGTCAGTATTTCATTAGCTATCTAGCAGTGATGCTACAGCATGTTCCAGGTCCTCAATGGAGGTGTGCCATCTCAACAGAGTATGTTGCAGGACACACCTCTAGTACGTCGCTGGTCAGATATTCAGCTCAATATCAGCACTTCTTCGGCACAACCACAGCCATGAAAAGGCCGGATTGCAATTTGACATCAGTGCTAGTTGCAAGAGGGGAAACAGGGAGGGTCAGAAGGCAGAATAATGTATTAGTAAATAAGCGGTAGGCAGAAAAGGTATAAGACATAAGCCTCCGCAGCTAGTATATCAGTCAGTCGTAACTCCGTAGAAATGCGCTATAGCTCTCGCTTCTCGCGCAAGTGCGGCGGCGGCCGGAAGTTGCCCGAGCGCAACTCCTGCCACGCTAGATCGAACCGCGCGCCCAGTAACCATGCCGTGAAAATCTATTCAGTTAGCTTGGACACAGCAACATGGAGGATAGACGTACCATCACAATCGAGACAATGAAAACAATCACCACCATCAGAGCCATCATGAAGTACATGTCCTTACGCGTCTCAGCGTGCTCCTCGGCCTGCTTCTTCTCCAGCTCTGACATTTCGCCAGTGACACGGCGCTTGGCAACTTCCGCATTTTGGCTGGGGAAGATGGTCTCGATCCATTTTTCGATCTAGACTCGTTAGCATGGAACAACTACGAGAGCAACGCAACTCACCCTTCCACAAACAAGGCTGATCTTGAGAAAGTTAGGATCCTTGGGCGTGTTCTTCTTGTGGATCTTCCGCGCATACGTGCGGAAAGTCGCACTGAGGATGCGCAGGTTCTGCGTCGACTCCATCATCAGATGACAGGCATCGCCCTTGGTGATCTTGATGTTACGCTCGAAGATCGCAGGGTTGCGGAAGCAAAGCTCCAGCGTGGCAATAGCCATGGACTGCGGAATGGCACAGAAGTTAAACACACTCTGCTCACGCAGTCCAGCCAGATAGAACAGGCAGTCTTCGACATGCTCCAATGCGTTCAACACCATCTCGGAGCTGCAGTTTAGTGCAGCTTCACGGTGCTCGGGCTTGAACAGATCTTCGAACTGGTCGACGTGCTTGGACCAAATCTCTTTGGGCCAGAACCGACGTCCATCATCCTCGTCCTCTCGGATGTCTCGGATGATGTTGGTCTTCTGCAGAAACAGTCCCATGGACTTGTGCAGGCGCGCACGCTCCAGCAGGGCGGGGTTACCGAACTCGGCCTCGACGAAGAGGCGCGTCAGTCCTTCACCAACCAGGCCCGCGACGTAGTAGCAATAGAGATCATATTCCTCTTTGGTGACCACACTGGCATCTTCGAAAGCCGCCTTGCGACAGTAATCGGCCATGCCGTTGCCCATCCGATCGGTGATGTCCTTGATGATGGTCTGGTAGGCCGGCTTCATGTTCTTGAACTCCGTGACGACGTTGTGAAACTGAACCAGCAGCTCACGGTCCTTCTCCTCGGGGCGGTTGCCATTAAACGTCCAGCCATCCTGCTCCAGGAAGTCCTTAAACCCACGGAGCAGGGGCTCCTTCGTTTCCAAGGGGATCGACGTGTCATCTTCAATGGTGTCCAGACCGCGAAGCACGAGGTAGAAGACGCAGACGGGCAGCAGCAGCTCGGGGTGCAATTCCTTGATGACCGCGCTGAAGCTCCGACTGGTCAGGTCGAGGAATTTGAAGCAGGCCTTCTGAGTCTCGGTCTCTTCCTTCTCGTTGCGTTCATGAACAGGGGAGTGCCAGATCTTCCTATGACCGCGGGCAAAGCCTCCGTAAGCGTTGGCACAACACACTAGACCCCATCACAGTGCTCGAGGACATGGGCCGGAACCAACCATTGCATAATCGACCTCAATTGCGAGGGATGAAAGGTGAAGTAGACGATATTCGATGCGAGACCCATGATGTGCAGATTACGATCGAATAGTCACAAGAGCAAAATTAGGTAATTATTACACGTAAACAAGGAATGAAAGCAAGCAGTGCGGAGAATGACCGAGTCAACGGAATTCGCAACGCAACGGGATAGTACAGTAATGTACAAGCACAGTGAGTGAATGCCTCACAGGCTGAGAGGGAAAGGGGGGACGGGGAATCAAGTATCAAGGCAGGAATGGGAGATATGGGAGAAAGAGGGGAAACGGGGAAGAAGGAAGAGGTGAAGACTAGGGAGGAGGTTGAATCCAATCAGGGGGAAAATAGAGAAGAGGAAGAAGAAAAGAACAGCGCGACGAGGGAATTTTTTAAAGGGCGGTTGAGCGGCTAGCGGCTCTGACTGGATGGCTTAGCGCGTGCGGGTGCCATGACCCGGTATTACCACCAAACTGACGTGGCTGGAGTGCGATCGGACTCCGATCTGGTGGGAATGCGCCGCTCTGTGACAATACCAAACAAGGTCGGTCACAGTCACCGGCCTCGCACCGCAGGCCAACCGGGCAACAACCCAAGGCCGCTAGGCTCCCCCGCCATGACGGAAGGGCATCGGAAAAGCATCATCAGGCAGAAAAAATTACTTGTTCTGCGCTGAACCCGCTGCACGGCCAGCTCATCTTCTCTGACGCTTTGTCGCGATTCCTGCTGCCTAGCCTTGGATTGCCTGCATTGTGACCGCCAGATTGCCTCGTGTGGCTGGGTAACTCTTCCACCATGGTTGCCGATACTTCTTACTACGACGCCCTCGGGGTGTCGCCCACCGCGACGGAACTTGAGATCAAGAAGGCCTACCGCAAACTGGCTATTGTCACTCATCCCGGTGCGTTTGTCGTCTGGCGTACGTGACCCCTCAGCACTGACGGACGTAGATAAGAACCCTGGCGATGAGACTGCGCATGCGCGATTCCAGCAGGTAGGCTGATTCCTTGTGTTGACCCATGAACCTGCACTCATGCTTTATCTGGTGACAGATCGGAGAAGCCTACCAGGTCCTCAGTGATGAAGAGCTGCGCAAACGTTATGATAAGTTTGGAAAGGAGGATGCCGTCCCCGGCGGCGGTTTCGGTAAGACATCATGGGATGCAGGCGCAGTCGGGTACTAACAAACCCCTCAGAGGACCCTTCGGAGTTTTTTGGCATGATTTTCGGTGGCAACGCCTTCGTTGACTTGATCGGTGAAATCTCGCTCATGAAGGACCTGACTACTACGATGGACATTACCATGCAGCAGATGGAGGAGGACGAACTGGCCGCATCCGCCGAGGAGAAGCTCAACATTCACGACGAAGAAACCGAGGCACATGTCGCCGAAGGTGCCGCCGAAGCGACCCCCGCCGAGTCTACGACTGCCACTCCCCAGAAGCCCGCTGCCGCCCCATCCCCGAGCTCGGGCACGAGCACACCCCGCCGCTATATTGGCCAGCAGGCCATCATGGACAAGTCGGAGGAGGAGGCCCGCATGGAGGCAGCTGGTCTGTCCCAGGAGGAGAAGGAACTGCGCAAGAAGGAGAAGAAGAAGGGCGGACTGTCCCGGGAGCAACAGGAGCGCCTGGCCGCCTACGAGATGGAGCGCAAGAAGGCGCGCGAGGAGCGGGTCAACACGCTGGCAACCAAGTTGGTGGATAAGATCAGCGTGTGGACGGAAACCGACAAGAGCGCCGATATGACTCGGGCCTTTGAGGAGAAGATCCGTTTGGAGGTGGAGAACCTGAAGATGGAATCGTTCGGATTGGAGATCCTCCACGCCATCGGTGCCACCTACGTGCAAAAGGCCACCTCCTTCCTCAAGTCGCAGAAGTTCCTGGGCATTTCCGGGTTCTTCTCGCGGCTCAAGGACAAGGGCACGCTGGCCAAGGAGACGTGGACCACCATCTCGACCGCCATCGACGCACAGATGACCATGGAGGAGATGGCCAAGCTGGAGGAGCGCGGTGGCGAGGACTGGACGGACGAGAAGAAAGCCGAGTACGAGAAGAAGGTGACGGGCAAGATTCTGGCGGCGGCATGGCGTGGCAGCAAGTTTGAGATCCAGAGCGTGCTCCGCGACGTCTGCGACCAGGTGCTTGGCGACAAGCGCATCAAGCTGGATAAGCGGGTGGAGCGGGCTCATGCTTTGGTGATTGCGGGCAATATCTACTCCAAGGTAAGAACCTTGCTACGGATGACTAGTACATGCTAACTTGGCAGGCCGAACGTGACCCCGAGGAGGAGGGCGACTTTATGGCGTTCGAGCAGCTGATGGCGGAGTCGATGACGAAGAAGGGCAAGGAGGACAAGAAGAAGAAGAAGAAGCACGAGCATGAGGAGACCCCGGCTGCTGCTTAATCCTTGCATGTTCTATCGATTGAGTTTCCGTGGATCAGACTGGACGTTGGATACGATGTTGTGTAGCGAGTTTATAGCCCATCTACGGACGTATGATTAGATGCGATAATAGAGGTAGGAATACCCTGTGTTAATCAGAATGAGATGTTTACTGCTACTGTGATTGCTTTGTCGTGAGTGTCCTTGATAGCTGATAAGGTGGTCGGAGATCTCCGGATCGTCCAGGCAACGATGCGTCCATGCAGCGGATGCTGCAGGTGTGGTCTTATACTGTGTGTGCCACGATGCCACCGTAGTCATCAACCTACGGAGTACTCCGGACCAACACATATTCATCCCAACACACTGCAATAGGTCAATTGCTACCAGCACCACGACAAGCACAGAGCACAGTACAGTGAATCTCCCAAAAATTTTCCAGAGACAGACATCCGATCCATGTCTCCTGATAAGCAACCAACTTTTCACCGGCCCCAACCGTGTCTTCCCCGCTTCGGCAGGATTGGGGGTCTCCTCGCAGCGCACGCGACCAATTACCAAATGCAGCCCGGAACCCTACTCCTACGATGACTCCGCTGCGATGCCTGATCCAGCAATTGATACGACGGACTCCGCATCCCTAGATAATGCTTGTCGGTGTTGATCCCGCACTTCCACATAAATATATCCACCACATCCCCTCTCCCTCTGCAATCCACAGCACTCGGCGAGCTTCTGAGTGAAAATGGGCCCCCTCACCCCCCTCGCCGCAGCCCTCTCCGTCGTAGCCACGGCCTCGGCCACAGCCTCCTCCTTCAACCTCCAAAGCAATTGGGGCAATCTTAGTCCCTACGCCCCCAGCCCGGGCTTCACTCTCCCCTCCGGAAACCCCATCGGCTGTGAACTCACTCAAACGCACATCCTCCACCGCCATGCACAACGCTATCCCACCTCATACCTCCTGGATGCCCTCAGCATGGAAGCCTTTGCCGAAAAGCTCAAGAACTTTACGACCGCTCACCCCAACACTACCCTCGCCACGGGACCCTTATCTTTCCTGAACCACTGGGAATATGTCATGGGCACCGAGGAACTCCTCCCCACCGGCGCGGCCACGGAGGCTACCTCTGGTGCCTGGTTCTGGTCCAAGTACGGCCGGACCTTGTATAAAGCGCCGGCGGGGATGGCAGATTGGAGTGACGATTTGAATGTGTTTCCGAATGGGACGCAGAGGAAGAAGCCCATGTTTCGGACGACGAGTCAGGCGAGAATTCTCGAGAGTGCGCGGTGGTGGCTGAGTATGTCCCCCCCCCACTCCTCCTCCTCCTCCTCCCTCCTCCCTCAGTACTACACAGAGATGAATGATGCTAATAAGGTATAGGTGGATTCTTCAGCAACGTCGGCGCCAACAACTCCTACCCTCAATACGACCTGGTGATTATCCCCGAAGGAGACGGATACAACAACACTCTATCGGGATACTGTCCGGCGGCCACTTACCCTGGGTATGTCCCCTCCTC